ACTAAAAGTAAAATAATAGAACTGTTCTATTATTTTGCTATTATGTTACTATTATGTTATTTATATTGACAAACCTTTTGTTATTTTACTGTTATTCTGCTATTATACTGCAGATATAGAGTAAAATAATAGCAGATTTTTTTCTATTATTTATCTATTATTCATTTTTTATTTATTTGTTCAACCTGTAAAAGCCTTATAATAAATGCTGATCTGTTATTTTATAACTTAAAGAAACAAGATTGTATATATTAATATTGTCAAACAAACTTTGAATAATAGAAAAATGCAAATTATATTTTTGATAAATTTTTATAAATATGTTTAAAAGCAATATAGAACATTTCTTAAAAAGCATACTTAATTGTTTTAGTATATATATATATTTTACAGAATTTACAAAAATATTGTTAAAATTCATTCTTCTAATGTTAAAAAATAAAATATGTCTCTAATTACAACTGTTTTGTTATAAAGAATTTAAAAGTATATTGTCTAATAATATTGTAAAAAAATTTTACAAGACTATTAATCAATAAAACAAAATGATTAGTAAATATATTAATAATTGAATAGCTAATTTTTATCTAATAAAAAATATCAAAAAAAATAATAAAAGAGTGCATTTATAATTCTTTTAATCAAATTAAAAAAAATGATTACTTTAACAATATATGCAAGCTTCTTTGTAAGTTTGCTAATTATCTTTCTGATAGTATAATGCATAAATATTAATAACCAAAGGAACCAAATTTTCTAAAAGATTTGTTAAATAAAGAAACTTTAGATTTTTATGCATATTACTAAAGTTTGAATTAACAACATTGACTATTTCTGACTATGCTTCATATACAATATTAAGAATCAAATTGATTTTTTATAATAATGGCTTTTTACTAAGATTCTTATGTATACTAAAAATATCTTTATAAAGGTTATTAAAAAAAAAAAAAAGAATTTTTAAAATAAACTAGTTTACAAAAATTTAATAATACATGGAAAGGATCTATAATTAGTAAAATATAATAATAAATAATAAAATAGATATATTATTAAAAAGAATATATTGCATAATCGCTTTGCTAATATAAAACTGTTTAGGCTAGTTTGTAACAATAGAAATAGTGTGATTAAAAATATATATTGATATAGTTTCACAATTGTATATGACTTTAAGAGCTTTAGCATAATGCTTTATCTTTTTCAAATTACTTTTAACAAAGTTATCAAAAATAATGTTCTTAATATGATGCTTATTTTTTTTTTTTTCTTTGATGATCTTGCTGAGATTATTGTTATGTTCTATATCTCAAACTAATTTTCTTAATGTTCTTGGTTACTAAATTTCAATTTTCTCTAGTTTGTGTTTTTAAACTTTCTAAAAGCAATCTGTTATACTGACCTCTGCCAGAATCAGAGAGCTTCGCTAGGCTTTGTCTAGAACTAGCTGTCACTATATGTTTATATAGAATCTCTCATTGTCAAACTTTTAGACTTACATTACATCTCATGACTAGTTATTTCAAATTGAGCTTTAAATCATATTTATCACTAGGTATCTTCTCAATTACAAATTACTTGCCTTTTCTAGAAATAAGTTCATCTGATAATGTTCTGAGTCCTTGATACTATAATGTTGCAGTTCTCTATTTTAGAAATGCATCTCTATAATTACCATTACTAGGATTGAACTGGCAACCTTGCAATTTGTGATCTCAGAACATAACTACTATATTATTGATCCTAGAGGTTCTTATTTTTTTATTATTAACTAATCTGTTATTATAACTATGTAATGTTAGTCTGTTTATGAATTCATTATTAGTATCTTTTTTTACATAATTCTATATATGATTGTAATTAAAATAAAAAATTATAAGATTTACAATAAATTAATTTTAAGATATTTTATAATCAATTTCTTATTAATAACTTTAAGATTAATTATTCTACTATACAGTATCACTAATATGCAATATGAATTTAATATTATATATATTAGTTAAGATATTGTTATAATATTAGATTAGTGTAAAACATGAATATTGTGATAATTATTAATATTAAGCACTAAAGCATTTTTTAAACATTTTATATAAATATTATTTATATATTTTTTATATATATCTGATGCTTTTTTCTTCTTATGTTTTATAATTCTTATTGTTGTAAATATAACAAGACTTGTTATTATGTTCAAGCCCTTATTAGTTGTATTTACTGAATTTAAATAATAAGCAAGATCAAGCTTAAAAGCATTAATTTTTGTACTATTTAACAAAGTAAATAAATAACAAATTAATACTATTAATTTCTTTATATAATTTATGTTTGCTTATTACATTTAGAGACCTAGTTGCAAAATAAAATTAATTAAAAAATTTTATTAAGTTTCTTAAAATAATTTTTGTATTTCATCAAAAACATAAATAAGACTTTCTTATTTTATATACTCTTTTTTAAAAAAAACTTTTACTATCTTCTTAATAACTTTAATAAGTTTAATCTTTATACTTTTCTCTTTTGCCATATTTGTTTTAAATTTTTTATTCATAAGTTTTTTATTTTAAAACCTCTTTTTAAAAAATTTTTAATCAAATTTATATAACATAAATTACACAAAATATTTTTTTCTTTTCATGTTTCCTTCATTAAATTGTTATATTTAACATCTTTTTACTTTTTTTTGTTCAATGAACAGAATCTAATCAACTTAATGATATAACATTTTTTGCATTGATATATTTGTTTTGGATAAAAGTTAATATAAAAGTTGTTGGATTCAAGTGGATTCAAGTGGATTCAAGTGATATTATTAAAGTTTAGTACGAAAACTTTAAAGCTTGTTTAGTATATTTTACGTTTCATATTAAAAATAGGTTGTGCAAACTTCTCAAAAAGTAAAAAAAACGCACAAAAAAATTTTTTTATCAACTGTGATTGGCTGATAATCATGTGATATTAAATTTTGGTTGCTTCTATTCGGTAACTCTAAAACATCAAATTGCAACTTTTTTAACCCTGCTTTAAGGACCCCGAATTTAGCATATTTTTCACGTGATATAATTTATATACTATATGGGGGATGGTGTTTAGCAAAACCTACGTTAGAAATGCACAATTCTGAAATTCTTCAATTACAACAGCGGCTCCTTAGTGGTAAGTGAAATTAAGATTTATACTGAATTTTATCGTCATTTTTATTATTAAGTTAGTTCTTTTGAATCATTAGAGCAGGATGAAGATCTAGATAGATTAAGCGATGCTATAGGACGTCAGAGAGAATTGGGAATATTGATCGGTGACGAACTGGCTTATCAAGTTGAATTATTAGAGGATACAGAGGACATGGTCATTCGGACGGAAAGAGTCCTAGACAAAGCAAAAAGAAATCTCGCAAAAATCTCAAAAAAAGTTAAAAATAATGGTAAATATGATTTCTTTTATATGTTTCAGGTTCGTAATTTTTTAATTTTTTCCTTCCTCTCTTTTCTTTTTTAGGTCACATATGTGCAATTTTTTCATTAATCCTCATATTAATTGTTGTTATAATCGTCCTTGTTAAATAGATATTTATTGTTCAAAGCTTAATTTTTAACATAGATTTGTAGTGGTTTCAGCTAAACCCTACAATTAGAAGGAATACTAAAAATATTTATTAAAATGATCGTATATATTTCTATTGAATTTCTCAATCATAGTAATAATATTATTTTGCGAAATTATAAGGTTTTTTTTTATGTAGTTTCAGTCATAATGTTCACGATTTATAAATTAAAAGTCTTCAACATTCTAATTATTTTACACCTACAATTTTATTTTGTCTTTGATTTTTTGCGAGAATTTTTGATAATGTGATGTGATTGAGTAGACTCATTTTCTAAAACTGTACGTTTCTTTTTGTGAATTTCTTTGACACCACCGAAATCTGTGTCATGAAGGTGCTATAATAGTGAAAAAAGAATGATATATTTAGATTATATGTATTAGTCTATGTGATAACTAATGACTAAAAATTTACCATCACAGCCACTCGTTTTGCCGTAGCAATTTCGTTTAAACTTTCTACTACTTTATTCTCATTAATTTTCCACTCTTCCATTTGTTTATCTAAAGAATTTTAAAAAAAAATTAATAATAATGAAATATTAATCAAGATCTATTTTGTTATATAAGAGAACATAATCGATTGATTTATTACTTGTTCTAGCTTCTATATTGTGAACAAGTTCTACATCATGTTCCGTAACGATTGACAATGCTACACCACCCCTACCTGAAAAATGATTTGGCGTAAGTTTATTTAAGAATTTAATACATTTTATTACCGTTTATACTTACCTGCTCTTGCTGTTCGGCCAACTCTGTGAATATAATCAGCCGGATCCCTAGGTACATCAAAATTAATGACAACTTGTACGGTAGGAATATCGAGACCTCTACAATACATATATAATAAATAAGTAAACGAATAAATAAATAAAAATTGTATTTATTTCACCATACTTACCGACTTCCAACATCTGTAGCTATTAAAATTTTTATAACTTCTGCCTTAAATTTTCCCAAGCTATTTAGTCTTTCCTTCTGACTCATTGATGAATGTAAGCTAGTACATCGAATGTCCAATTCTACCAACATTACACGTAATAATTCAGCAGTTTTACAACGTCCACAAAATATTATTGTAGATTGGTTTAAAAATTCTTCAGAACGAAGAAGATGGACTAAATAAGGCTCACGGATGTGGGATGGAATGAAAATGTAATATTGTGCCAGGGTTGATACTGTCGATGTGCTAGATGCAAATTTGGTAAATATCACGTATTAGATGGAAATACTAATTTTATCTTTTTTTACTTAAAAAAAAAAAAAACCAACTCTGATTTAATTTGATAAACGAAAGGCCTCTTGTTCGGGTCTTCTTCAAGATTTCCTAATGCCAGAATATTTTCTGTCATTGTCGCCGTAAAAAGCAACGTTTGCCTTTTTGAAGGAATATTTTCAAATATAACACTTAGGTCATTTGCGAATGTGTCTGATAAAAGACGATCAGCTTCATCAAGTACCTTTATTAATATATATATTATTTATTTGGAATTCATGTAGAGTAACGTAAAAGTGGATAAAAAAAAATAAAAAAAATAGCGCTTACTAAAAATCGAATCTTGCTTAGACTTGATTTAATATCGCTACTATTAATATGATCTACTAATCTTCCTGGTGTAGCAATAACAACATGTGGCTTTCTTGAAAGTTGTATCGCTTGAGTCATCATATCTAGACCTCCAATTATAACACATTCTTTTATATTTACGCCCTTTCCAAGTACTCTAAATTGATCTGCAATTTGAATAGCCAATTCTCTGGTCAAATATTAATTAATACCTTGTTAGAGAAAAAAAATCATAACTTTTTAAAGGTAATTCATTGATACCTTGTAGGTGTTAAAACAAGAGCGAAAATACCAAAAGGATCTTCAGACAATTTTTGTAAAATTGGCAATGCGAAAGCTGCAGTTTTACCGCTTCCAGTCTTTGCTTCTCCTATACAATCTTTTCCTAATAAAATTTTTGGTATGCATGCACTTTGAATTTCAGTTGGGAATTTTATGGACATTGCGTTTAATGCATCTATTAACCATGAATTCAGTCCCAGTTGCTCAAAGCTTGTTGGAAGCTCTGGATGTTTCGAAGAGGACTCTATTAAGGAGCTGTCCTCTTTTAAATCTTTTTGCACTGAAGACGACATTAATGTTTAGCATACAAATTAAAAAAATTTTTTTTTATTAGATAGCGATTTGACAATTCATTGGACATTCAAATCTTTGTGCTGACACATGATTAAGGATGAGGATAGATTTACATAACGATAACGATAAAGTTTGGGACAACTAAAGAATTTTCCGCTGGTTAAGCCACCGATATCGGCCGAAATCAGTTTGATTTTGAGCCAATGACCGAATTGATAAGTTACTGAGGTCGGCCTATATCAAATTAGTCTTAGTTTTCCGAAATTTGTCGTTATGAAAATAGCCGTAATTCTGACTCAGTAACTTATCGATTCGGTTATTGGAAAATTCTCCATGAAAATAGCCGTAATGGTATTGATGGTTCGGTCTCGGCCCCTTTAGAAAATACATCAAGTATTGTAGGGATCGTCATGAGGAATCGGTCCTTAATATTAAAACGACCACGGACCGGTTTTTTGTAACCTTATCATAAGATGTGCAATTTGCTATTAACTTTAAAGTGGTTTTTATGCGCCAAAAGCAGTTTTATTTAAATTAACTACGTATGAATATATGGGTTAGGTGCTGGGAAAAGGGCAGAAAATTGCAATTTTTTCAATTTAAAATAAAATTAGGATCATTTTCACTTAAGATACGAAAGTAGTTGTATTAATAACATTTTGCAATATAGCTCTTTAAAGTTTGCTTTTCTTATGATTTATTATACGATTTATAATATAAAAAAATTGATTTTCCTTTTTTTTGTCATTTTTGGCCCTTTTTTCAAGCACCTAGCCCATATATTGTGAAAACGGATTCTAAATGAATTTAGGATTTCTTAAGATTTTAGGAATAACACATTCTACCCTAAAAATTCTAATTTTATTAAGAAATCCAAAATTTCGTTCTCATTTACAACATATATTAATAAACTTTGAAATGTTTAAATCTTTTGTTACAAATTTATTTAATAAGTGTACAACACCTTAAAAGGCGATTATTCCATCATCTAAGAAATTCGAAGAATTCGAATATTTACCCAACCAATGTTCAAAAAGTTACGAGTTTAACTATGTACAAATTCGGTCATTATCTCAGAAACTATCCAACACTGAATTATCTTGCCAATTATCTATTGCATAAATCTATCAAAAAGTAGGTTGAAACATTTCAATGAACTTTACGTTTCTTGGTTGATTTTTCTTGTCTCGCGGCTAATTCTTTTAGCTGTCGCCTCTTTTCAAGTTCACGTTCTTGCTGAGCCTTATCATTGTTCTAAGAATAGAGACATGTTAAATTAAATACATCATATAAAATGAATAACTTTGTTTAAACAATTTGGTAAATAAGCTATCTCACCACTTTTGATTTACCGATGTTACGTGCCACCCCATCAGAATTGGTATTTGCACGTGATCGCGCAGCATTTGAAGTAAATCCAGGTGATGATACTTCAACTTCAGCAACAGTGTCATGAGTCGTTTGAGAAACGTAAATGGGATCATCATGTGAACTTGGAAATGGAGGATCGTTATGCTGCGTAAATAACTTTGTAAGTTGTGTATCGGAAAGGCTTGGTAGTTTAAGAGTTGCAAGTTGTGACATTGGGATGTTTTCGAAAGCAGAAGGCGAAGGGGCTGATGATGTGTATGACAAATTTTCAGAAAGAATAGAATTCGATGGGAATTGATCTTTAATAATGAAATAAATTTGACACATTAATATAGTGAAATAACATGTATACATGGGAAATACGCAATATTCTTTAACCAATATATACTTTGGGGGATAACACGTTCTGTTGCAGTTCTAAACAACCTTGAAAATGCAGGATCACTCCAAATGTTTAGAGTCGCATTATTTTCTGAAACATTGCAATCATGGATAATCTAAAGTAATATTCATAAATGTAAACAAAATAAATAGAAATTATAAAAATTTCATAAAAGACGATGTAAATTTTATGAGACAATGCAAATTTTGTAAAATGTTAAAAATACCTGCTCAATTTCTTGATAAGATTTCTCCGGATCGAAAGATGACGAAACATTTGCTTGTGTTATTCAGTATTAATTTGCCGTTATTAATTAATAGATAAGAATCACTTTTTTTATTTAATCAAAGGTTAATCTAATTTTCGACATACCAGAACTTTTGTCAGATTTACCCGAAGTCTCCAATCGCATCAAAGACATTAGACGAACAGTTTCATTAAATCGTTCTTCTTTTGATTTGATGTAATTATGTAACATTTCTATCTGCTGATTATAAGCAGATGTTACTAACAAGTGAGGAAGAATGAAATGTGTATATAGTACGGTTTCACTATCAACGAATTCCTCGGAATCAAAATTTGACATCTTTTTGGGAGACGAGTTTGGGATTAGTTTGCATGAAAACGTCCAAATCAATTCCATTGGGCCTACGTTCCTCTTTGATTCTAATAACAACTTTGGAAATAACAAAGTCATCATAAGAAAATAAGAATTATAAAGTATATACATAATTAGTTAGTGTTAGTTGAAAATTTCATACATCATCGTTTTGCATGTTAACATTATGAGTGACGTCAGGATGTTGTGGTAGTAAATATTCGGATAAAAAATGCATATATTCGGGTAAACGCCCATGGTCTAAAGTAACTTTCATTTCCTGCATTAAAGAAAAAGTATACAAAACATAAGTTATGAAAGCTATAAATAATGAGACTTTATAAATCAAGATACGAGTACTGGTGAGGCTTTCCTGGAATCGTTTAGTTATCTCGTCAGCAAACAACTCTTCAAACCAGACATACCGTAAGTTAGTGACAAGCACGAGATAGGAATGGTCGGTAAAAATTGATTTTGCAAGATAAGTTTCAGCGTGTTCATTACTAGCTACGGAATTGACATGTATAGGAACCCATAGCGAGGACCTTAGAGTTTCGTTGTGAGTCGTTGAGAAGGCCATTTTTTTCGAACAAAGACTCGAATTACTACATTAAAAAATAGCTAAAATGGATCAGAATTAGGAATCACAAGATTTGACTAGTGTATGCATAAACAAAGCTCGTGGGAAATTACAATCATGTGAGTCACGTGAAACGTCATGAGAGAAGTTACACAAAGTCGTACGATTTCTATCAATATAAAAAATTTTAAGGTTCATGCAGAAAGTGTATAAAAGCGTGTCAACACATGTTTAAAAACAAGTTTATTCTTTAATCATTGTTAGAAGCTTTTTTTTCTTAAAAAAAATTTGGCACTTCTGTCACCTATTTTACACTAGTTTTTTTTCTTTTGCCAACAAATGGCACCAAAGTCTGTAGCACGCCGACCGAATCCCGCGTTTCTCATGTATGTAACATTAGCAGCGGCAGCAGTTGGTTTTTTTGCAGCATATGTATACCATAGAATACAAGTACAAAGGCGTGAAACAAGAGACGACGAAGACGACAATGAAGATACAAATGGAACGGTAAATGGACAAGCTTCACAAGAGAGTAAAATTATCGGGATAAAATGTTTAGTAGACTAACCTTGAGCCAAAATTTTAGTCACGAATAGAGACACGTCGAACAGGAACAAATCAAGAAAGAGATCAAAGGAATCTTGCCACTAGGTTATTTAGGAGTGTGATAATTCCAAAAAAGAAAACCATCTCAATATCAATGAAGAATGTAAGTACATATTAAATCTGGATAAACTAATTAATTATGTTAACCATGTTAATAATTCTAATCATACTAATCAAGTTAATCACGTAAACAACTATGTACACGAATTTAATATCAAGACATTACTATGGAATCCATCATCAGACCCAGACAATCCAAACCATGCATTTTTTGAAAACATAGTTCCTTTTCTTAACCAACTTGCACAATTATATGTAATTTATCTCGTTTGTCCGGTTTCAAGCATACAAGAAAAAGAGCAAATTCTCACACTACTTCGAAATGCACAACAATTTAACAATAATGTTATAGATGAGCGAAGGGTTTTGTTCTGTGAGACAGAAGAAGGAAAAGTTCATATAATCAGACATCTTGAGACGAATGTTCATGTTGAAGGAGGAGCTAATGGAGAAGAATGCGTAGAAATGGTTAGAGGCTTTGTGGGCAGTGTTATTTGGTTGTTACATGGAGATAATAGTAGAAATGGAGTATGGACGGAAAATAGTGAGATGAAATCAAATGTTGACAGGAGTCAATGGACCAATGTTGAAGTTTGCCAAAACCTTTGGTCAAGCAGCCTTAGCCAAGAAATAAGGAATCGATAAATAGATAAATAATTATAGTGATAGACATTATTATAGGATGGAGCATTTAGTGTTGTATGTTTAGAAAATCCGAATATGTTTACATTTTACATTTTTTACATTTTTTACATAATTTAAAAACTTGTATAAAGATATTGAATTATATATAAAGTTAGGTGTTAAACATTTCTTACTTTGTGAATTATTGAATTATTGGCCATTTATGTTCGTGACATGTCCATAATAATGCGTCTATGAAAATGCTGGACGCATTCACACTAAATGAAATGCAATTTGCATCAGATGGCGGAGAAATTTGCATTAATTGAGATTTATCATACTATATATTTTATTATATATTTTATCATATAATTTATCATATAATTTATCATATAATTTACATGCTAACCAATATCGGTATATAGTTATGTAAAAAGATGTATACATAGCTAAGTATAGTATAGTTATAGCTATTAAGAAGTATAGTTATAGTTATTAAGAAGTATATATAGTTAGAGTTATTAGGAAGTATAGTTATATATAGTTAAGAAGTATAATTAAGAAAAATATAGTTAAGAAAGTATGATTAAGATAGTTAAAAAGTATAGTCAATAAGTATAGATAAATTAAGAAGTATGGAATAGAAGGTATAATTTATAGTTAAAAGGAAAAAAAAGTATAGAAAGTCTAATATATTATATAGTTAATAATATATATACAATGAAAAGATTTCAAATTTTTAGTAAAATGTGACTGTGTGAAATGTTAGGAATATGTGACATGATATCATAAATATTTCCAAGTTAAATACCAGGTAACATGATTTGCATAAGTAAACATGCATCTTATCACTTGTTCATTTCAACACCGCAAAGTTCGGAGCCTAAACCGCTATCAATTAAATATAGTATACACATGAAAAACATTTGTTATTCAAATAAAAAGTAAATAAATAAATAAAGGTGTCACCAAACATTTGCACATTAGCCTCAGCGTCAGGGATTAGCAAATAGGTTCTTTTAGTTTTATCTTTATATGAAAATATATATAAGTCGATATTTTTAATTTAATCTATTGCAAATCTTTTGTCTAACATCCTCTCATTCATTGTGTATCAAACAATAAACAAAAAATTTTCAAGAAAAACCCGCATCATTTCTTTTTTTCGTTCGCTTTGTCACTCCTGCAAGGATGTCGATGAACTAACCCATAAGTTGATGATTCGAATGATCGATTCATTCTACCGGTTAATTAAAGAATATTTGATTCGGTAATTGCTAAATTCCCTGATATATTGTTACAAAGGAATCATCTGATAGATCAGTGATAGATGAATAAATAAAAGTCCGATTATATTGTACTATTGTAAATTTCGCGGGTTGATCATAATAGTGTCATAGTTGGTATATTATAGTCTTATAGTCGTTAGTCTTACAGTTGTTAAACTTTTTATACATTCAAACTAAATATATATATTACAATGGAACTAATGGAACTAATGGAACTTTAGTAGATGTAGTACTATTGTCTACTTGTCTACTAGTTTTTTTTGTATTAGAGCATATAATCAACAAAGTATTTATCAACCCTTGATTATTTAATAATAATAATAAAAAATAAAAAATAAAAAAAAATTTAAAAAATTAAAAAAAAAATAACTAATGTTTATTAATATTTATATGTGTATATTCTTCAACTAATCGCTTGTTGAATAAAAATGACTGCGGTCCTTAAGTTTTATGTTAAAAATACAAGATTTTATATTACACAAGTATATTTGTCATTTTACTTTACGATAAAATACGTATCTCAATGATATGGTCATATCTGATATATATAATCCGTATTTGGATCAATATTTGGATCTCTGTGAAACTAGATATATGCCCACACATCTTGACGCACTTATGCAAGCTTAGTGGCGGTGACACTCACACCGAGTCCTGACCCACTTGATCGTAGCCAACCTTTTTTTTTGTCCTGTTTTGATAAACCTTTTTTTTTTCCTTACCCCTTACCCCACTAACAAATATCGAAACTTTACAAAAAATCCCTTTCTTATTTTAACTTCTCTATCTTCTTTAATAGAGTTACGCCTCGCTTTTTGACTTTTCGTTTTCAACTCCATTTATTTCTTTTACTGACCTTTAGACGCTATCAATAATGTCGTCTAACGGTCAAACACAAGCTTGCTTTCAGAAGCTTAATCGAATAAATGAAGACACTTGGTTGCAGATGGGTAGGATTTGATTTCTTAATTCCACCCACGGGATTTAGGCGAACTTTGCTACTTTTTAAACTATGTAATAGAATTAAATTTATCCGTTATGACTTTTGCGATAAATACGCTTCTCGCTCAGGGGGCTGCACTGCTCTCCATGTTTGTCCATGCAGCTACCTGAAACAAATAGAAATTTTCTTTTTTCGCGTACAACCTTATACACAATAAAATAGCTCAATATCTTTAATCCCGTTTAACTTCCTTTTTCTTCAAAGTCCGTGTTTTTGTAATTCACTAAAGCATTTCTTGTTTTCCAGGTTCCGCGGCAGAGTTGATGCAGGAATATGATCGGGCAATGAATGCTTATGAATCCGCTTTAAGACACAATTCGTATTCTATTCCTGCTTTATCCAGTATCGCTGCTCTTTGTCGTGGAAGAGAACAATTTCCAAAAGTATTGTCTTTTTTACTTAATTCTTTAAATTTACCTTTGTATATAATTATTAATTTTTTATTTCTTTTTTTCTTAGGCTGTCGAATATTTTCAAAGGATCTTGAATATTGATCAGGCAAATGGTGAAATTTGGGGTGCTTTAGGTAATCCTAAACTTTTCATCTTATTACTTATTTTATTTTTTTTACTTCCTTTTACTTCACGTGTATTATCAATCCATCCTTAATTTAGTCAATTCTCATTAAACTCTTGATTTATTTCTTTTGAAATTTTTGATCTTTTAATCATGTGACTATCAATCTTTATCAAATTTTTTTATTATTTATAGGTCATTGTTATTTAATGATGGATGACCTTCAGAAAGCATATAGTGCTTATCAACAAGCATTATTTCATTTACCTAACCCAAAGGTGTGCTATTAAAGTCGAATCTTCGACTTTTCATCTATTTATCATCTTCATAACCTTTTCCTCGATGTTTTTACCTTCTCAAAGGAACCTAAACTTTGGTACGGAATCGGTATATTATACGATCGTTATGGTTCACTGGACCATGCCGAAGAAGCTTTCTCTCAGGTTATGAGAATGGAACCGAAATTCGAAAAGGCCAATGAGATCTATTTTAGGTTGGGAATCATATATAAACAACAACAGAAGTATGATCAAAGCTTGGAAGTGAGTCTGCCATAATACATTAATGATGATGATGATTTTCGTCGTCACATTGATTTTCATAATTTTCATAATTTCATAAATTTCATAAAATTTCATAAATTTCATAAATTTCGTAAATTTCGTAAAATTATTTTGTATATTTATAACAGTGTTTTAAATATATTTTACATAATCCTCCGAGACCTTTGACTGAAGTTGATATTTGGTTCCAAATTGGTCACGTATATGAGCAACAAAAGAACGTAAGTATAAATAATTATAAAATTTATAAAAATTGTTGATTTTATTTTAATCATTCACTATATAAACTAAAATTATATCCTATATTTCAAGTTTATGTCTGCTAAGGAGGCTTATGAACGCGTGTTAACTGATAACCCAAATCACGCTAAGGTTCTACAACAGCTTGGATGGCTTTATCACCAACAAAGTGCAAGCTTCACTAATCAAGATCTGGCTATCACATATCTAACAAAATCACTGGAGTCTGGTTTGTAGTAATGCCCTTATTAGTATATTAATAATTATAATTATTTATTATTTATATTTATTTATTTATAATCTAAATATATATTATTAATATTGTTCATATTCAGATGGTACTGATGCTCAATCATGGTATCTTCTTGGGCGATGCTATATGGCTCAACAAAAGTACAATAAAGCTTATGAAGCTTATCAACAGGCCGTGTAAGTAATATGAATTATAATTATAATTATAATTATTAATTTTGTGTATTACCCTTAATTTATTAATTAATCGATTGATTTATATAATTTAATAAATAGTTATCGTGATGGTCGTAATCCCACATTTTGGTGTTCAATCGGTGTTCTTTACTATCAAATAAATCAGGTATACATAAAAAATATAATAATAATCATGTAATAATAATAATAATAATAATAATAATATATATATTATATATATTATAGTTTCGAGATGCTTTGGATGCTTACAGTCGTGCGATCCGCTTGAATCCATATATTAGTGAAGTGTGGTATGATCTTGGTACTCTATATGAATCTTGTAACAATCAAATTAATGATGCTCTTGATGCTTATCAACGAGCTGCTGAATTGGATCCAAGTAATCCACATATAAAACAACGGTTGCAAATGTTGAGAAACCAACAAGCTGGTGGTCAAACATCTGCTCCAATTCCTCAAGACGTGAACCCTCAAGCATATCAATCCCCTAATGGTCCTCCTAACATGCTTGGTGGTAATACTCCAACATTTGCTCAACCTACTCCTGGTCCTCCAGGTCCACCGGGTATGCCAGGTTACAGTGGTAGACCAGTTGATAATCGTCCAAGTCATACTTCAGGTCCTCTTTCGTTGTCATCTATTCCTAATCACGGTGAAGGTTCTCATCGTGATTTACCACCTCCAATGAATAGAAGGAGTCCTGGTCCGAATACTACTTATACTCCTCCACCTCATCTTATTCGCGATAGACCACCAACCCCGCCTAATCAACAACATACTCTTAATCCATTAATTTCACCACATGATCAACGATCTTTGACTCCTCACCAACCTCAACCACAACAACCACCACCTTTACGCCATACTCCAGATAAGCGTACTTCGTCTCCTTCTCCACAACTTCCTCAAATTCAAATGCAGGATGATCGACATCCTAGACATTCTCCTCCTCAATTACCTGAACCATATCCATCATTGAGACCTAATTATCCTACTTCTCCACGGTTGATACCACCTGATCATGGTAGCTCTCAGATTCCAAGTTATTCACATCTTGATATCTCTCATCATCCACCTGTTGATCGTCGAGAATCTGATATTTATGATAAGGTTGTCAAGCCTGATGAGCGACCTAGTAATGGCGTTTCTTCTTATCACCCATCTGAGTCACTCACTTCAAAACATGATTCTCTTCCACCTCTTAATTATCATGATAATCGTGATAATTTGGAAACGCCAATGAAGAGATCTGATGAACAATCTCTTCGTCCACCTGATAATACAAGAGCACCACATCGTTCACATTCAATTGAACATAGTGAGAGTAGAATACAAGATGAAGGGCAACTTGATGAAAAACCAATTCCACCATTTCCTTATCGTCAAGAAGAACATCATTCGAGGCATCCAGCTGATATTAAACCCGAAGCTCCTATTGCTCAGAGACCACCTCTTTCTGAATCTCCTGTCAGAGATTCTTATAATAATGAACAACAACATAGTCCTATTTCAAATGTTTCTAATAATGAAATTCCTCGAAAATCTTCAACTGATCAGCGACCTGAAACACCACGTGAAATTTCAAAAATGTCAATTCCTTATCAATCAGAACCTGATCCACATTCTCCTCCTGGAGAATCAAGTCCACATATTAATGAACAGAACAATTCTACATCTTCAACCAGTCCTCCTGATAACGATAAATCAATATTAGCACCTATTCGTAGTAATTCTTCTGGTAATGAACGATCATCTGGATCTACGACTGCTCGCACAGTGGATGAAGATTATGATGGAACTACAACTACTGCTGAAACTTTAGTGAGCTTGAGTGATCCCAGTGTTTCATCTTCATCTGCTGCACAAAAACGTTCATATTCACCAGTAAAAGGGGATGATACTGATGATCGTCGCGATGAAGGTAATGCTAAACGAATGAAACCATCACCAACGACTCCAGTAGATGATGCACAGTCTCCTATATCATCTCATTCAGAACGTGAAAGAGAAAGAGATAGGCGAAAGTCTGAACAAAGTGCTAATGGAAGTAATTCTCCGGTTACTGGTGGTACTTCACCTTAAGGCGTAATTATGTATATAAGTTGTTTTTTTTACTTTTTACTAGGGCTTTCCTCTTTTCATGCACCAATTATTATGCTTAAAACAATCTGTATGTTTCATGCACCGATTATTATGCTTAAAACAATTTATATGCTCGAAAATTTGATGGATGTTTTTTTTCTTCGGTATTTTTCTTTTTTTTTGTTTGGTTGTTTTTTTTTGGATTATTGGCTTTTTACTTGATTGATTGTTGATTGGTTTCAATAAAGGATTTGTTTTATTTTTATTACAATTAAATAATTAAAGTTACAAGCAATATGTAAAATAAAAGCAGACATTAGTATAACTATCAATAATGATTCTGATATATATGCCCTTTGTTATTATTCAATATTTACTTGCGATTGAGATGTTCAATCATTTCGTTTAATCTGATCCTTATAACAATTTTGCCAAAAGTTCATTCTTACAAAGTGCGAATTTTAAAATGTTATCCAATCAGAGCAACTAATAAACAATGATGGGATCGCAAATAGTTGCTACCTAGTAAAGTCACAATTCTATTATGTAAATATATATTGGCGGATCGAGTAAAGTTGATCAGGAGTTTAAAATACGTATCTTCTAAAAGGTTTACTTAGATTGAACAACTTGGTATTAACCAAATTACAAATTAAAACAAAATATAAAATTTGCTTCTAAAATACGTGTATTTTGAAATTTTGACCAATTTTACTTAATACATATATATGATATATATTACTATGGAGTAATTGTTGAAAATTTTTTACTTAGCGATAACTTTTCTTTTTTTGTATCAAAATTTATCAAGAAAATAACTTATCATTTAAGATCTAATACATACAGTAGTAATTTTTTAAAAATTTTATTCATGATTAAAATATGTACCATTTTGAACAATTTTTGCTGTATATACTTTGATATATATTAAAAAATGATTATAATTTTTTAAAAAATAAAGTTGTAGTAAATTGATTTACAAATTAGTGGTTTTTGTTCTTTTTAATATCATTTCTAGATCAAAAGTTATTAACTTTTAAAATCAGCATAGTCTTTAATTACAAATCATAGAAAAAGATATATAGTCTTTACCTACTACAAGGTTATTAATCATGTGATAGTTGGAATACAGATTTACTATTTACCGTTACTTTGCATCAAAGATTTGCGTACTTGCATACCCCACTATTTCGCGAGTAATACAGATCTAAAAATGGATATTTAACATAAAAATAGACCAAGCATGCAAAGATTGAAATTTAAAGTTAGAACCATAGATGCAGACATTCAGAAGGTTAGAGGTAAGTTACCTCTTCACGTCGTACGTATGTACTGCTGTATGCTATCTAAATTTCTAATATCTGCAGCCTAAGATAGTTAAGACATTAGTGTTAAAGGCTACATAAATAATAAATTGATATTCTCGTCATTTTTAATTAATACCTCAAGATGGTTTTTTTTCTTGCTTGTGCATGTGTTCGATATCAATTTGCTCTCTCGTTTCTTTATTTACCCGCACCTCATCAATTGCCAATGGCCAATCAATTGTTTGCGTTCCTTTTCGGGTTTGTGTTACTCGAACGAGTATAAACATTTCAAAACACGAGTATCGATATAAGAATCACTTTTTTCCCTATCTCTTTCATCTAATCAATCTACGATCTGAATATTGAAATTAACCAACAACAAAGCTCGTGGCCTATATAGAGTAGTCAATACCTGGATTCGGATCTGAATCTTAATAATAGGATCCAGATTCAGTTTTAGTTAATTATTTAGCTTCATATACTATTTCAAATTTGCCTTTATCGTTTTCGTCAAACATAATGTCAGAAGAGTTTTTTATTTACAAAAGTATTATTAGGACTTTGTTTTAGTAGCGATTCTATTTCACGAATTTTAAAAGGTCAAATTCCATCTATCAACACAATAGAACTTTTTGAATGTTCTAGCAATTTGTTTTTAAATTTACAGATTGTTTATAGTTTGTAAGTGATCAGGCTTTAAAATATGTATTTTTTTTGTATTTAACCATTTTATTTGTTTGTTTTTTTAAAACTTAGTTTCTTTGAAACTAGGAATTTTTTATTTAGTATTAGAATATAAAGATTTTGAGAAACTTTTTTATATTATTTATACAATTTTGATGTTTAATATAAGTAGTTTACTTACATTATAGGTTTTATACCAGATGTTATATTTGCAATTTAATTATAAGTATTGTTTATTTAAATTTTTATAACAGTTTATTTTGTATTACTGTAATATTTTTTAATATATAGATTGGTTATAAGTGTATAAATACTAATTTTATATTTTTAAAATAATAAATATAAAAAATGTGATGATTTAGTGAAGTGAATAAGTTTAAGTGACAAATTGAAAGTTTAAAATTTATTAATAATAAAAATTTAGACAATTATTTGTGTTTTAGTAACTATTTTCTATTGATTAGTTAAAATAAAATATTTGCAATTATAGTTGCATCAGTATAACTAGCAAGTTATATAATATTTATATTATTTTGGTTATATAAAGAAATGCAAACTTCATTTTAATACTAAAAAAAAAAAAGATGCAAACTAGTATCATATAATATAAGTTTAAAATAAGTTTTTATAGTTATATAAATTTGTAAAATTGGTAAAACAAAAGTTTATTTAAGAAGATTTAAATAAAATAATAGCATGAATTTTTGATAATATTACTATAAAAATTAAATCTAAAAAACAGATAGCAATATAAAGAAAATAGGCAAATAAGAATCTTTAAATAAGAAGTATCATCAACTAAATTGTCAAAATTTGAACTAAAAAAAATATTATATCTAACTTGATATACAAAAACAGATTATAGTTTTATTAGAATATTTGAATTAGAAATTTGAAAACAAAACAAGAATATACTAAAAATATTAGTGATATACAATGAAGTTAGTACTAAGATCTGAATAAATTTTATAAGAATATAGTCTTATTAATGATTTATAAAGTAGATAAGTTAGTTAACAGAAAGTGTTTTAAGCTTTATAGTTAAATAACATATTTTAAAATAAGTAATAGCTTAATAATCATATAGAAAAAAACTAAATATTAAATTAAACAGCACTTAAGTATATAAAAATTAAACATTATTTATCTATACAATATAGAATTAAATTGTTTAAATAAATAATCTTTTAGTAAATTATAAATATAGTAGCTAATATAGAACTTACAAATAAATTACTTAAAAAAATAACTAAAAGTTATATATATATATTTATTTTTTCTTCTTTAACAATCTTGACAAAATCTTTTTTTATATCTTTTACACTTCTTCTAAACTAATGTTTTCAATGTTTAAGAATTACTGTACCTCAACCTCTTCTGGTCTGTACTTTTAAACTTTTTAGAAGCAATTATCACACCAACTTTTGCTAAAATCAGAAGGTTTTATTAAGCTCTGTATAGAACTAGCTATTATTATAAGTTTATATAGTATCTCTTATTGTTAGACTTTCAGCCTCATATTACATCTCATAACTTTGATTATTTCAAATCAGTTTTAACTTATATTCATTACCAGGTGACTTCTCAATCACAAGTTATTTGCCTTTTTTAGAAATAAGTTTATTTAATAATGTTCAAGCTTTTTGATGCTGCAATATTGCAGTTTCCTATTTTAGAAATGCATTTTTATAATTACTATCACTAGGATTTGAACTAGCAACCTTGTGATTTGTAATCTTAGAGTATAACCACTATGTTATTAACTCTAGAGGTCAAAGTTATATATATAGTTAGTTATATACTTATTTGTATAAGTTATATATAATAAATATTTTTTTTTTTTAATATTAATGGTAAGGCTATGCCTCTATTTTTATTGAATATTTAATTGAGATTTTACATAAAGTACAATTCTGCTTTTAAAATATTATAGAAAGAATAAAAGCTCA